AACATCTCAGAGGGGCTGCAGGGATTGTAGATTGAGTCAATTTTTTTAGGCAGAACACTCGGATATAATCCTGACATAACAGGTTCACTATTGTTTTATACAGCTGAAATGTAAGCTTTTCAGTGATACATCTATCTTTCTTGTTGCTTTAATTACAGTCATCAAAAGTCTGTCCAAAGATCTTTAGAGGAACATGGAAGTAGTGTGTTTTGTACGTGGCTTGGGAAGGACAGCTCATTCCAAACTTGTGTTAGTCATCCCTAGATACATAAATCAGCATGTTTAAAATAAAAAGGGAGTCCTCTCACTCCCATCACTGTCACTGTTCAATGTGATTTAAAATGAGCTTACAAATCAGGCTGGGGACCGGGAAGATAACTGATTACAGTTATCTGATGGTTTCACATTGTCCCAGTGATGCAGGAATGGGGCCCAGAGCGGCTCCCTGTCCGGGCCAGGAAGATGTTCCCTGCAGCTGGTGGTCACCTGCTGGCACACACAGCCATCGCACACTCTGCATCAGCAGGCTCCGCAGGCAGCTGTAGCTAGACATCAGCTCCAAAAAAAGAGCCCAGCTCCTGAACTTACAGCCTTCCTTACATCAGGAGATGAGATACAAATGCATTACAGCATTTGAGATCAGGTCTCTGTCCTGCACCTGCAGGAGGTATTGCCAGGGGCTTAATGGGCAGTCCAACATTCCTGCTTGCCAGCATTGCTGGTGTGTTTGTCAGCTGGGCTGTAGCTCAGATTTTGTTCCTGAGGCTATGCAGGACCATGTCTCACAGTGCAGACCTTAACAAAAGGGACACGGTCCACCCTGCACGGTACAAATGGCTACTAATAAACTACTTTCTCTCCTTGTCTAAATATTCCTGGCTTGTTTACCTACAGCAGAATCCATAAGAGTAAGTGGGGAACAAAAAGGCAAAGCAGGGTAGGATGTTCAAGGAGAGGAATACAAGAAGTGAGGAGGTTTTACTGGGTTTGTGATGCTGGGGCATCTGGAGTCCTCATGATGAAAGAGGGTTAAAATGGTTCATTTTAATTTGAAAGTATTTTACAGTATTTTGTTTTACTTTCCCTTTGAATGGACACAAGATTGCCTGCTGCTCGGAACTGACAATTGAACCAGTACATTTGTTTAAACCCAGTTTGGGATAACTGAAAATTTTTGATTGACTAATTGACCACAGGAAACTTAGTGCCAGATTTTGTTCTGGTGTTTACTATACATGGAGAATAAACTTCACAGTCTTCTCCTATAACTATTCCATGAAAAACAGTGAAACACAACTCAAAAATAGTAAAAGTTAAACATTACCTCAGAGTGCAATTCACAAATAACCTCCAGGATTGGGCTCAAAAAGAGAAAGTATGTGTAGACCCTTCAGCAGTAGATGCCTTTGGAACATGTAATTTGACATCCATAACTCTCCAGAATAATTAGAGGCTTTGTGCAAGGCATCACAGATACCCCAGGTAGAAGTCCATCATGTTTGTGAACAACTTAAGCCTTTGTCCAAGTGGTCAGGTATGCTGAGGGTGTCCACAGCTCTCTGGTACTGTGATTCCAGGGACAATCTATGGCAAAGACTCCTGTGATGTTAATTGTTGCAAATAGAACTGGCTTGAGGTTGGTATAATCTCCCTAGGTTTGGACATCAGCCTTTTCAACCTGTGCACAAGACAGATCAAAAGTAACTCCACTGTTTGATAGCAGGCAAGTCCTTTCTTTTCAGGTCTGATGGTAAGTTTGTGTAACACAATCATATTGTTTTGCTTATCACCTGAGGTACAGATATTTGTACAAATAAGAAAATGAAAGCTCCCCCTCAGGAAGGAGCTGCAGCAAAGGGTCTAAACAGAGGTCTGACTTAGAAAGGTCTTTGGTTGAGAATGTACCAATAACGTGGTGAGAACTTGCAGACAACACCTAAGCAAAGAGTTTTCTGTGAGTGAGAAAAGGGACTGCAACCTGTGCCCTCAGTGTAACAGGGTGTCTCATCTACCTACATGACCTCTGCAGTAATTGCACCCATACACACCCCTCAGTGGCATGTTTTTCGGTGCCATGGAGTCACTCAGTGACTCCACGGCAAGTGAGCTGCAAGGGCCCTGAAGGCATCACCCTTGCCAGGGCCCAGCTGCCTGCCCTCACTTGGGCCACCAACCCTCCTCAGCTTTTGTACATCTGGGTGGGACAAGCAAGGAACCAGAGTGTGTGGAGCCCAGACCATGCAGAAATGGTTCTCAGGCAACCATTCAGTATGTTGGTTCATCCTCACTGGGGATTCAGGGCAGACCTTGCTCTGCATTGTCCAAGGAGAGCTAAAAAAATTCCTGCAGGGATTCAGAGCATTCCTGCTCAGAAGGAGTCCGCAACTCTCTTCTGGAGCCTGGCCAGGGTTACAGAGGATGAGCCAGGGCATTCAGATAGTGCCCCAGCATGGGAAGAACACAGCTGGGTTATGGCCAGCTCTTGTCTTCGAGGGGAAAGGCACCACATCATGCCTGCCTGCCATTGCAACCTTTCTGATTCCTAACCCCTTGCTCATCCCAGTTAGACCCAGAAGAGGGCCTGGGGGCAGAGGGCTAGCTGGGCAGACACAGCAGGAGGCTGGTGATCCCCAGGCTTGGAGGCAGCCAGGTGCCTCCCATTCTTAGCACAAGTCCTGAGCCCTTGACTCAATTGCCCCAGGTGTAAAACACCTCGAGTTTCCAGACTAGAAAACATGAGCTGCTACTGTCTGACCTATTGCATCTAGGCCCTGGACAGCAGAAGACACAGCAGGAGCATAAACATCTCCAAATGACAAGCTGTTGGAGGACTGAGAGCCCACTCTTAACGGATTACGATAATATTTGTGAGAAAATTTCCTCCTTCTGTGGAAAGAAGAACAAACCTATAGTTTCCCTTAGTTTAAGTGAGAGTCTGGAGTTTTCAAGAAGCTGGGCTAATACCTTGAGCAAGAAATTTCATGCAATATCAAATTATTTTCACTTCAAAACCTGTTGTTCTAGAAAATAAATGATGGAGAAGAAAATGAATAATTCATTATTCACTCATTTAAAAAGAAGCTGTTGGCAATGGTTTAGTCAGATGCAGTGCCTTTGGCCAATAAAGATGATAAAGGAATAATGAATTAGTCATCAATACTGCACCGAAAGAAAAAGGTCGAATTTGTCATTGGACTAAATCCAAAAGGTCAGATTTGTTCTGTTGTTCTAAAATGATGGCCTTCAGTCCCCCTTTGATTTTTCACACTGCAAAATAGCTCTGGCAGAGATGGAATGTTTAAGCCTATTAAATGTTCCTGTTTTAACTCTGTTGCTTTTTCAAACCCCATCAGGAATAGGTTGTGTCCCCTCAAGTAGCTGTGTAGTAGCACCCAACAAGTGCTGTATTAAAATAACTACTTAGGGCATTGTTCTGATATAGGGAACTGAATCTGGCCTCTGGACTTACAGACCTACAGAGATTTCCTTGGAGAATTTGTTCCACAACAAACAATCTTGGATGAAATCCTGACCTGGATTGTCCAAACTGCTATGAGGCAGGATTACAATGATGCCAGGATTTCAGTTCCCCAACAACAACAGAAAAAAGCTGGTGCTTCCTGGCCACCCTTCTACTGTACTTATACCTTGCAAGTAGGTTCTTTGTGTCCTGTGTCCACACATCCATAGCAGATAGGCCTATGGCCAATTTTTGCCCTCCTGTTACTGCAGGATAAGTCACCTCTCAAGGCCTATAACCTCTGTCCTGCAATAGTAGAATCAGGAAGCATGATGGAAACAATCAGCTTTGTTGGGAGGTGACAAAAACTTCTGTTTGCATCAGCTGTAAAAATTCGGAGACTCTTACATGTAACTTAAATGTTACTTAAATGTAATGTTCTGACAAAGGATAAAGCAATGCCAGTCCCTCTTAAACCTGCTATATAAATTCCCCTCCTAAACTCATTTTGCGTGGTTTGGCATCATTCCCTCTTCTATACAATTTGCTTTTTCCAAGCCTCTCTTTGTAAGTTTCACACTTTTTCTCGTAACTGTTCAGTCCAATTTGTCAATATGACTTCAACAGGCAGGTTGGGTTGCTAAATCTGGCCTCGCCTACTCAGAACTCCAGCATCACATTCTGAAGGGGCAAAACCAATGATTATTAGTAATATTGCTCCAAAGAGCATTCCTTTTCATACTGTAATAAATATGACAAATGTGATATCACTATCTGAAAAATATTTTCCGACTTCTTAGGTTTTACTGTATTTAGAAATATTTGTCACTTCTGCATCACAACTGCCTTAATTGCTGGAAATCTGTTCTACCTTGCTTTGGAAAGCAATGAATACACTAATGTTGCTGCCTGTACTCTGCTTACTCCCTTTCAGACATGCTCAGTATGACTTAATCTAGATTTACAATGTTACAACATTTTATGCCTCAGCTTGCTTAAATTGATGTTGGCAACATGGGATGTGAATTACTTGTCAACAATGCTTCTATACTAATATGATGAGCACCATCCAAAGCCCAAGAAGGCAAAAGAAAGAGTGTAGATTTTACTACTTACACTGATGATGTTTGACCATCATTGTGCCCATGTGCCTCCACAGCACCCTTCACCTGGTCCACCAGAGCTTTACATCAAGGTTTTAAAATGAAAATGGTGTCAGTGGGCACAAATTCCTCATTTTCATCAAGAAAGGAGAAGGAAAGTACAGAAACATTCCCAAAGTTTCAGTGAATATGGATGAGCTGTCTAATTTCCCAGCTTGTGTGTAGTCCTGAAGGACAGGAAAAGATGGGTATCTGTAGCATTTCATGTTCCCATTAATTGCTGATCTTATATTGTTATAGTTGTTTTCATTTTTTAATATTTATTGACTTATTTTCTATTTTGTGTTTTTTTCAAGTTTTTTTCCCTATCACAGAGAAATTGCAAATACAATGTTACCATGAGCAATATGCTGACTTTTTTTTCTTGTCTACCTTAGGACATTTATTTACCCTTTCTTCACTAGAGGCAGACCTTTCCCACTGCAATTGCTTTTCTTTGGCATGTTATTCTGTATCTATAATGGCTTCCTCCAGGGGTACTACCTGATTTACTGTGCTGAATATCCAAACGACTGGTGCACCGACATCAGATTTACATCAGGTAATTACAGCTGCAGGATTACCAAGATCTAATCTCCAAGCAATTTGTAAGCATTTTGAATTATGTTCTAATCTTTACTGAACATGTGAGTCAAATCTGTTGTGATGGAAATCAGCCTAAGACCTGCCTGCTGGCCCAGATAAAACAAATAAATGTGCAGTGACTTTTTTTTGCTGCTAGCCAGCCACCTTATAAGATGTACGATGTTGTGCATTAGTCTCAAATCACAAGTCAGCTTTTACTGACACCACTCCAGAGCCTTCTGCTGCTATGGGCTGTGGAGATGCAATCTCAGGTCCCAGGTGCACAGGGATGTATCCTTGCTCAGCCAGAAGTGTCCACCCAGCAGTGGTTGTGTGTGAGTGCAAGCTGTGACTTTCTCTTCCCTGCCAGGGAGCTTTGCACTTGATGCAGCTATTCTGACTGAGAGAGAAAAGAAGGGCAAAACCCCGGCATGAATGAGGCTTTAAGGACAAAGGGCTCTTTTTTCTCGTGGGAGGCACAGGGGAAGATTAGAGATCACGCACAGTCTGGTTATATGTTAATACAATTCCTTTATATTTTGTAACTTAATAGCTTAGCTGAACTTCTCCCTGTAAAATCCCTCAGAGAGTAACTGAACAAGAGTAGCTAGGTGGCATTACAGATTTGGTGCTGCACAAAGGGTGTTTTTTAAATGTAAGCATAGCAATGAAGATTAAAGTGGGGCTCTGAGGAAACATTTTGGATATGGTAAGTTCAAACTAACCAAGGTACTTTCTGTACCCCATTTCAGACTGTGGATGCAAATTCAGTCCTTTCAGACAGCATGTATTAAAAATTCTGGACATTGTTTAGTAAGAGCTCCCACACCCAATAAAGGAAACAACACATCACTTAATTTTTGTGATAAATAAAATATCATATATTTAATGGTGGGGGAAGAAAATCAGCTTCAGTAGTACTTGAAATATTAAATAGAAAACAAACAGTATATTCTTCCTCTACAGACTCTGTTACTACTGGAAGTGTTGAGGTTTTATCAACATTTAGCTTTTCCCTATACTTCATAGCGCACATGCCACCTCTATTACTTTCCTCACTTTCCAGTCATTGTCAGAGGTGGTTTTCTCAGTGTTTAATGTAGCATGAAATGTAGGGCAGGTCACCTGCAGAGTTTCTCAATCAAATGCCTCTAGTTTTTCAGCTAAATGGAATATGGCTAATGGATCACTCTAGCCAGAAACCATCAGCATCCTTCAGGGAGTACCTGCTCTCTGGGCATGCCCATCGCTCTGTCCAAGCAGCCTCACCAGCAGCAGACTGGGGTGCTGAGATGTAGGTTCACTTCCTGGATACAGGGATGTGCTGGATAAGTTTGTGACTCCATGCTCCTCTTCCCCAGCAGTAAAATGAGAGTATTGGTACTTGCCTACAGCTCAGTGGTTACTCTGCAGCGATGTCCACATCCGTGGCTGACTGTCACCAGCCAGTTAGTGTCGGTTGGGTACTTTGTGTCTCCCCTTGAATGTCCAACAAAGAGTGACAATGCCCACCTGGGAAGTTCTGCTTTTTCTCATATCAGCTGTAAGTGCTCTGGTGTCACCAGTCATCTATGCTTCTCCTGTTCAGTGGCCTTCTTGGTAGCAGCACATCTTTTGACTTGAGAAAGAATCCACTCACCTCATGTTAGGACCCCTATCTGCCTGCTGCAAAGTTAAACCTCGTGTATGTGCTTGAGTAGGAATGACTAAACAGAGCTGGCCTTCTAATCCATTTCTTATTTATTCCCTAGGCCTCCTCTTATTTCTGCTGGGAATGGGAATCAACATTCACAGTGACCTCCTGCTGCGCCAGCTGAGGAAACCTGGAGAAGTCACTTACAAGATTCCTCAAGGTATATCCTTGTCCCCCATATCCTTGAAGATAGTAGGGCATCAGGATAACGTTTTCTGACTGAATTCACTGGAAAACTACAGCAGTGGCAGAGGTGCTGGTACCACACAGGTACTCAGTTCAGGTGCCCCTCTAAGCTACAGGGACCAGCATGAGCTGGCTGCAGACAGTCCAAGAGAAGCAGAATGACCATCTGGAAAATATGAGCTGTGAGGACACATTTTTGGAAGTGGGCTAGGTAATTTAAAGATGATTGAAGTGGGAAATAGGAAGAGGATTTTAGCTTTGTGAAAGACAGCTGTAGAGATGGAAATACTCCTTTTCCATGCCCAAGAAGAAGAAGTAGCAGACTTCTTACACTGGAAAAGGGAGATTTAAAGTGTAAACTTTAGAGGGGAAAAATAACACCAAGGATGCAAGGTGCTGAATTGCCTTTCCTAGGAAATGTAGAGCAATATGGATAGGGATCCAAGAATTTCTTGGTTTTGATGTTGACTCCTTCTGCTGCCTTGTTATGGATGGTAATATCTCTCCCCAGAGTTTCTCACCTCCAGTACTTACCTGCCTCTTGTAAATGTTGTGAAAAAACTGAGATCCAGATTTCGCATTCCCCAAAGGCAGTGAATTTGCAAAATATTTTTAGGGCATGAAAAGAATTGACTACTGTTAATAATTTTAATTTAAATCAAATAATGGGCTATCTTGAGCTATTTGCCAAATGGAAATAAACTATTGTGTAAGTGCTGGAAAGCTCTGGGTGAGAATTACCTTTGATTCTTTGATTCTTGTATTTATACAAGAGTCCTGTACAAAATCCCCATTTGGCATGGTTCCACTGGCTTCAAGGAAGTGGGTTTGGGTTGCTATTATGGACCTTGAATAAGAAAGTGAGAGTATTCTGCTACTGCCTTTATGGGAAATAATTCTCCATGGAGATGACTGTAAGAATTAAATATTTTGTCTGTTGATGCAGGGGGACTGTTCACCTATGTTTCTGGAGCAAACTACTTTGGAGAAATTGTGGAATGGTTTGGTTTTGCCATAGCAACCTGGTCCCTCCCAGCCTTCGCCTTTGCCTTTTTCACTCTTTGCTGCATTGGGCCACGTGCTTATCACCATCACAGGTATCAAAGTGTTCCTTGCTGTATGTGCTGTTTACACTTAGAGTGCAGTTTGCAAAATGCCAGAGAGGAAGCAGAGCCAGGATTCAGGACAAAACTGAAATTTAATGCTATGTACAGGAAGCGTATTGGCCTATTTGTGACTGGGTGGAGCCTCTGTCATATGGGCCGGACAGTCATTTAATCCAACATGAGTTGCATCACTGCTTCTGCCACGTTAAAGCCTCTTTTCACTGAGCCTCGAAAATGTGAGCCTTCCCTAAGGGTTCTCTTGCAACCTCTGCAGTCCTTTGGAGTAGATACGGTCCCCTGCCCTGAATTCCTAAAGTTTCTACTTCAGGTCTGTTAGAACCTTAGCAGCATTATCAGCTTTCACTTCGTTAAATAAATTGGTGGAAGGCTCTTTTGCAGGAGTAGCACACCAAAACAACACAGCGAGTCAGTTTGGAGGAGTTTTAAGTTTCCTCAGCTCAGATGGATTAAAACTGTGCAGTTTCCCTGTATGTATGCAGGTTCACTCTCTTGCTTATTTTCTTTCAGGTACTATCTCAAGACATTTACGGACTATCCAAAATCAAGGAAAGCCTTGATTCCTTTTGTTTTTTAATGATTGAAATATGGACTCTTTTTTTTTGTTTGTTTTTATAGGATTTTTTTTTTTTTCCAGTTCCTGGTTTTAATGTTAGGTCTGACTACAATTGTACAAATGACAATCTGGGGGTACAACAGAAAAGAAGGTAATTTGGAGTGGAAATTCTTGTGGTTTTACCCTTTTTTGTGTTTTTGTTTTTGGGTTTTTTTACCCTTTTTACCCCATCTGCAGGGTAAATTGCAGATACTTGAGGGCACAGGGACTCCCCAAACAACATATTTGCTTGTCTGTGGAGTTCTATGGAAAATGAACATATAACTACGCTGACATCAGAGAAAAAGCACTGGATAAATATTGATGAAGAAAAGTAGAACGTAAACCCATTACTTCGGAGCAAGTCTTCAGCAGCCACTCCAGTTTATAGCACTTCTGCAACTGCTTCTTCCTGCCTCCATGCTGTAGTACACGTGCCCTTGCTCTGCTGGCAGTGCCCTATATGTTGCCACTCTTTAAACCAGAGTAGGGGTCTCATTTGCCCCCAAAATTACTCAGCCCATTATTCTTCATCTAAAAGCCAGCTTAGCTCCCAGAAACATAATATTACAAGAGAGTATTTGTGCTGGCACCAGGCTGGGAGCAGTGTGCCATGGCACAGAGGTGATGTTAAGTACACATTAAGAGATGGAAGCTGGCACTCACAAGCACAATGTCTGTGTTCCTTCCTTAAGCAATACTTTCCTCACTGTCAGATGATTAATCTTCAGACACCAGGGTTTGTTTTTTCAAATGTACTTTGTTATAGCAATTGCAGCTCCATTAGGATTTCTTTTTCTCTTGCAAATCCAGATCCCTTTTCAGAATAAAAATTTTTCCACTCAAAACCACTCAGTTGTTGTTCATAAAAAGACTTGAGATGATGATGTATGACAAAAATGACAACAAATAAGAAGCCTTGTGTTAAAGAAAATGTTCTCTGACACTGGCAGTACATTTTGTCTGTGGAAAACGTTTTCAGATACTCTTATTAGGAAATGATGCAGAGATGTTACTGAATTTTCACAAAAGCACAAAATGTCTCTTCCTAATTTCAGAATACAGTCAGGAACATTAAAAAAAAGTCATTAACCCTTTTCGGAAGAGATGTCCTCGTGGATGATTTTAGTTACCCTTCAGAGCATAAAATCCTGCTAAGAATTATGCTGAGTAGCTGAAAATAAAAAAGACCAGACTGCACACATGGAACATACTACCTGCTGCTGGAGTAACCTGATTGATTGTATGCAATTTCCTCCAAAACACAATAAAATTTATGTAAAATGCAGACCTGTGCTAGCCTATAACTTACTGTTTGCAGAAACAAGTCTCTGCAATATTGCTTACCAAACCTGCTCGTGCTGTCTTCCTCCTTCTGGGCAAACCCTCCCTTCTTTGATCATATTATTAACTATCTTCATTTCCAGAGAGTGGAGTAGCCAGCTGAGGGTGAGAGCCATTGCACAGTCCCTCTTCAGCCCACCAGAGAACCAGAGCCTTTGCCATGGGTAGGCAAAGGGAATGGAAGGACAAAATAAGGCATAAGCAGACTTCTTGTTGCATGGGATGAGAGTTCCACATTAGCACCACAACTGCATTTTCTGTTGGTTTCCTTATTTAAAGCAAGGCTGGAGGCATCAAGGATACCAGTTAGGAGGGAATGGCCTCTTCCCCAGGGAATGAACATTGAGTGTGAGCAGTAGCCGTGCTCCCCAGAGCTCCCTGTGTTAGCATCTCCTCCTTGACTATTCCTCCTTGCAATTTTTACCTCCAAAGCCTTGCAAATTATGAGAGAGCAAATAGTCCATGAGTGCCAGTGTTCCTAGCTGCTCTCTTCTCCATCTACTTCTAAGCCAGGAGGAGAGCAGGGACTAAGCTCTTTCTCACTCCTTGGACCAGAACAGGACTTGTGCAAACTCCTCTGTCCTTCCCAACTGCTTCTCACATCAGAACAGGACTATTCCCTGCATTTATTTTGGTTTGCTTAATATGTGCAGCAGAGGGAATGTTATTGCCACTGTAAGTCCCAGATATCCACTGCAAGGAGTCGGGGATCAGGATGGGAGAACTGGTGCTGACCCTAGTTGGGAGATAGCCTGCCTGCAGGCTAGGAGGATCCACAGCCTGGCACCCCTGTAGCACAGGGTGCCTTGAGGTGGTGGATGCCTTGCGGCAACAACTGCATCCTCTCTGTCATGGCTCTTGGACATGTTATGTGAAAAAGGGTTGCAGGCAGGAAAGGAGCACAACTTCCTACTGCCCTCTCCTGTGGCATTTTTGGAGAGCAGGAGTGACACACACGTGCTTCAAACACCCTACAGACACTGACTGTGGTTAATCATGATGGAGAGGAGACATAGGTTCTCACCATGTTGAGTTCCCTTGTGGGGCTGGTGGCAGCTGCCCTCCCTGTAGGGACACCAGTCTGTCCCACTGTGCACAGGAATGCACCAGGGCAGCACACCTGGGACTACAATGCTCCTGAGAAATTTCTTTCATTATCCCTTACTTCTACAAGGAAAAATATATTCCCCTTGTCTGCGGGAGAAAAAAAAAAAGCAGCAGACATTTTCATATTCCTCTGCTCAAGCCTCTGGAGGCTATGTACACATATGATTTCAGAGATGACTGTAAATTGCTTTGTAAAGTAGCACTTCTCTGACTTTCTTTGCAATGTCCTTTTGTTCTGCCAAAAACAAACAAATGTGTCCTCTGCTGGTAAGTGTTTAAAATAATAGCTCGTTCCTTTTCTCCCCCTTTTGCAATACCGTTTTTCTGTTTGGTTTCCTCCCGTCATTCACATTTTAGTTTTCATGTACCTTTGAGGAACATTTATGTTTGGGTGCTGTTCGCCTGGAGAAAGTCTTCCCTGGAACAGCTCTGAGTGCCACTGCTCTGCTAGAAAGACCTCTCTTACGGAAAGCTGATTACCCAGGCTTCATCCCTGCAGTCAGTCTGCTGGGAAAACGCATCCTTTATGCCCAGGACTCCTGTTAATTTAATTAATTTTGTACTGTTTGAGTGCTTTTTTCAAAAGCTGACTTTCTACAAACATGCACTATACAGCTGTGGTAATACACAAATGGCTTAATCATGCGTCTGACAGTTTATTCTGTAGAACGTGCTTTCTGCACCTAAGCGATCAGATAGACCACTCACGGATACCAGAATTTAGACAACTAATCTCTTCTGACAACCAAACCCAGAATTAAATGGTGTTCACTGGGAGCCAAAGAGGAGAACAATGGCACTTGCCAGCCCTCATTCCCATCTCAGTGTGCCACACACACTTCAGCCTTCGCCTGGCTTTAGTCCATGCTCCAGATGACAGGTCACTCAAGACAATAGAAACCGGCTCTGGACAAAGTAGGGCATTTGTAGTTGTTGTTTCACATATGTTACATAATATATTTACACAAAAGGCAATACCCACCTGCTCCCCCCAACCTCGTTTTTGGCCCTTGAGTGACTGTCTTGAATGGCCCTTGAGTGACTCCTTGAGGACAAGCACTCATCTGGGAGCTGCACTTCTGCTCCCATTACTCTCCCAGAATGCAGAGTCTCTTTCGCTTGGCCAGAAGCTCTGAATGTTTCTGCAGAAATATCAAACCATGGTGTGTCCAGAAACCACAAATACTGAGGAACTCTCTGTAAGTAGGCAGGGTGCTCTAATGGCTTAAGCTCGCGAATATCTCTTTTGTATTCTTGACTGTGTCACTGATTGACTGACAAACTCTGTCTAGTTATTCACAACTTTTGGGGCCCTTCCCCTTCCCCCTTCCACCTTTCCCCTTCCGCCTTTCCCCCTTCCCCCTTGCCTTTCCTATTGCTTGTCTCTAGAAATGGTCTCAAAAGCCAGGATTTGTCTTCATAGCACTTGACAAAGCAGTCCTAAACTCAGCTGAGACCTGTAGTTGCAGATACAACACAAATAAGGTATAGCTTATTGCATATTCTTGGAAGACTGAGTCATTATAGTATTGCAAAATAGTGTAAAGCCATAAGAGATCCAAAGACACCAAAATGTGGGAGATATTTCTGTGGTATTTCATAACAGAAAAAGGCTTCTCTGTCTTACCTACTGGACTTAATGATCATCGGCTGACAGCTGAAGGATTGCCTGCTTATATTTGATTTGCTTGTCCAATTAACAAAATCCTTTTCAATGCAAATCATCACAGGGTCTCATTTAAATCCAAGCATAGTCCTGCAAGCATCATGTCCTCTCTTCTGCTACCTCTGAGGTCCTCCTAAACTAGTCTAATTTCTCAAAGCAGGCATTACTAGAGATGTCTCCTGTCAGACTCAAACACTGCTGTCCCTGTGCGAGTAATGTGATCTAGGAAACACAAGCATTAGATACTAATTCAGGGCCAGGGCCTGCCAGTTCCTCATGAGTAGTATCATACTCTGTGAGTAAAGGCATTGAGGGCCACTGAGCTGCTCAGAAATATGCCATTATTCACTACAAAAAGAGGTAGCAAGTTTGATATCTGAAGGAGCAAAGTTGGTGCCTAATCAACTAGTGCCTAGTAGTAACGCCAGGAAATGTAAAGGGAGACATTCAGATCTGGTTCTGGTCTCTGTCACCACAAGTTACAACTGCTTTTCTAACCAACCTCTATGTAGTGCTCTAAGTCTATAAGGTAAAAGAAGAAGGCACAGTTTTCAGTTCATTATTACGGAATCATAGAATGGTTTGGCTTGGAAGGGACCTTAAAGATCATCCAGTTCCAATCCTCTGGCCATGGGCAGAGATTGTTCAGGTTACTAGACTAGATTGTTCAGGTTACTTCCTTTGCATATTGAGAAGAGGGCAAGACTAATCTTAACTGATCCAGTGCTTGGAATAATTGGAGCACCGTGCCTTTTGGGTAGGTGCTGAGGCATCTCCCCTCCAGCAGAGTCAGTGGAGACATTGGCTCCTCCAGGCAGTGATTCACAACCAACAACCAGGCTGCAAGGCTACAATGCACATAGGAGACAAAGATGGTAGAAATACATCCCAGTAAGCCCTCATCCATCCCTTTAGTAGCAAATGCATTTCATATGACCAGGTGTGTTTGGGTTCTCTGACCAGCAGTGTCATTCCCAGAACCTGAGTTATCCTACTTCAACACTTCTCATATCAGCTCTGGTATCACAGGCACCTCTCAGGTTGCTTTCCAGTCTACTTGCCTGCCTTTCCCAAGTTTGCCATGTGAGATTACACATAATATTTTCACAACCACACTTCCCTACTATACCAAATACCCTATGTCTGTTCAGGCTGAATTTGCCCCCACCTTGCAGTGTTGCTGCCATGAGGAAAGGCCTTTCCTTGTATGGCGATATGTTGCGTTTTTATGCTGTGTGGTAAAAGATGAGGAGACTGCCAAGGGGTTCATTTCAATGAATTCACAGCAGCCTTGCCTGGGCCTGAACCGAGTTTGGGTGGGGTGGGTTTGCCCTGCCTGTCCAAGTGGTAAGAGGGGGAGCAGCTCTGTGAGCCTCACAGTGCCCCCACTCTGTTCCCACCAGACCTGGTCATGGGCTCCCCATGCCAATAGGGCACTGGGTATCACAACTCTGAAGGGTAACTCAGCTTTCTGGCAACCCTGGGAGAGTCCTCTTCTGCATCCTCATCTTTTTCATCCTCAGCCTCATTAGTAGGGGGCTGCCACACCTTGGGATATTACACCACAGCAAATCCCTCCTCACCCAGCAGTCAGGCACATACACACACATACACAGCCCTGAGTGAATTTGTTTTCTGTGATGGAAACTTCTGAAATGACTCTCTGACTCTCCCTGGCAAGAGAGCAGCTTGCAGATGATTTGGAAATCTTCCTCTGCCAAAATAGTATCTCTGCCATTTGACCAGAAAATCTGAGTTTCAGACGTCCACAGGAACACAAACCCCATCCTTTCACCAGTTACAAACTTGGAAGACATTGCAGGAGAGGAAACCAAGAAAATTATGTTCATGGTGGATTTCTAAAGATGTGGGAAGCTGGCTCTGGCAGGCCTACAGGTAATTTTAAAATACCAGCAAACATCACTCTTGTCATAAAAAGCTGGAATTAAAGTGCATTTGCATCAGCGGAGTCCCCTGATCTAAATCCTCTCTTCCCTCTCCTGGTAATGTATATCTGGCACTCTGGTAGTAAATAGGAAAATGCGTATTTCAGCACTGAATGTACTAATCCTTCCTTCTACACAGTGGGGTGAAACTTTACCCTCATGCACCCTG